TGTGTGTGTGTGTGTGTGTGTGTTCTCTAAGTCATATTTTTAGCTTAGTTTTCCAACAAACTTTGTGGTATTTGATATACATAAAATATACACAGAAAAAAATTAAAAGAAATAAAAGAAATACATATATATATTAAATAAATAAAAATATATATATATATTAAATATATATATATAATAAAATAAAATAATATATATATTAAATATAAATATATTTACACATATAAATAAATATAAATATATAAATAAATATATATATATTTATATATATAAAATAACATTAAAAAAAAAATATATATATGTGTGTTAAAGTGCTAAAATGCATCTGAATCTACTTTAAGGTGATTTTTCCTTCTTTTTGCTTGCTTTTTTACCTGCTTGTTGGTCTGGGCGAACACGATGCCCACCCCCTCCACCGGCAGCCCGATGTAGCCCAGTGGGCAGGCGTCGCAGCGGAAACCTGGAGCCGTGTTCACACACTTCACCCCGGGGAAGCAGGGGTTAAACTGGCACTGCAAGAGTAAAAGCAAGAGAACGGGAGAAAAAAGGCAGAAAAATGAGGACGGGAGCTCCGCTGAAGCAGCAGGAGTGCACGTTTTTGTCCAAAAGCTTTTAGGTCTGATGACATTTGGGTTCGTGTAAGAAACAGAGAGTCTGTCAGAGAGTTGAAAGCTGACAGGAAAAGACACTCTAAAGACACACGGCTCAGACCTGGTGTCAGTTTGACGGTCCCCCATTTTCTTTGTAGCTCCCAAAAATCTGTCAGGGAAGCTTTTTCCACACCTTCAGGGGCCGTGCGCAAACAGAGTCATGTGACGAATTAGAGTAAAAATACACCTCCTTTATAGACCTTTAAAAACCAAACGTATGCATTTGATGATGCCAGCCAGCCCCCCCCCGAAGTGGATTATCTCTGCTCACAGGGGTTCATTTATCTGGATCCAGGACCAGAACATGAGCCTAGCGTGCAAAATGTACACACATTATTAGAAGTGCAGCTTAAAATAACCCTCGTTAACCTCGTATCTCTAAAGTGAAATAAATAATGTATATGTTAATATTCAAATATAATCTAATATAATCTAATATAATCTAATATAATATAATCTAATATAATCTAATATAATCTAATATAATATAATATAATATAATCTAATATAATATAATATAATATAAAATAATATAATATAATATAATATAATATAATATAATATAATATAATAT